AGTGGTAGTGGTAGTGGTAGTGGAACCGTGTGCATAGCACGGTGCGTTTCCAGACTCATTGGAATGTTGGTTTGGGTGAGGAAAAGTTGCACTTTTGGTCACTCTGCTTGCATGCTGCGAAACACAGGTCTACCGTGCAGCTCCGAGCCGTGAGCCTGCTGGCCTGTCCATCCAGACTGGATCCTGATGCGGTCACGATGGAGGGGCCCTCCGTTTCATGTGAGACTGTGACATCGCAGTGGCTTCATCCGGGCGCGCCTGCGAATTACGTGATCGTACACGGATCTGTGTTCACATTTACTCGGTGTGGTCCGCATTTATCGTTGCGCTAATCCGAAGCAGACACCTGGAGAGCACCAGAACTCTCAGAGTCAGGCTGCACCGCCAGTTACTTCAGGAAAAACCGATTTGTCTGGTCTTTCGTGACATACTTAGTCAGTTCATGTGTAGAGCCAGTAAGCCTTGACTTCTGTGAGCCATGAGAGTGCTTGGATTAGATATGCAGGTCCTACACGCCGGATCCGCTGCTGCCCTGGCCTGTGCAACTACCCAAGCTTCTTCCATGCAGCTTTTCTGGTGGTTCAGCAGTGCAGCATGCTTCCTATTGATTGGGCTCGAGGCAGCAAACACCGCGGGCGCAGATTTGCATTTTGCCGCAGATGGTCAATAGGCCGTGCTCCCCGTGTGCCACTCAGGAATTGCGGGACAGTGAGACTCTGCAAGGGCTCTACGGCTTTACTTCCTGGCTTCCTGGGAACTGTGCGAGGTTTGCTGTGGCGTTACCGACCGGCCCCGGCCCACGCTGTCTGCGCCAGAGATTCGATGCTCTTGGAGCCGGCGCGCAGACTGCTGCACTTGCAGACTCACCCTTAGGCGCCAGTTCTCCACCCACACAGGCTTGGAAGCTGCTACTTGTAAGTGATACGGGCGACAGCCCCTGAAATCGTGTGCATGATTTCACACCGTTGGCATTGTGTGCTGCGCTCGCTCAGCCAATCTCAGTCTTGGATGGCCCACCTATGGCAGACTTTGCCAGCCCAGCGCCAGTCGCACAGTGGGAGGTACAGCCAAGTGCGTCAAGCGTGCGCTGCACCTAGCTGCATTCTGCTGGCAGTCTTTAAGATGTATCAGTAGACCAGGGAGATTCGAATGGTTGTGTCGGTGTCGGTTTCCTGTGTCTTGCCAAGGTCTCCTCGAAGAGGTTTGTACGCAGTCCCGGCCTCACTCCAGCATGCACCACTTGCCTCACCGACAGAGCTGGCTGACATGGAGGTGGCACATTGTGACCCATCTCTCTCGTCTGCTTCGCATCCTTCGTCGCCTGGCAGCACAAGGAGCTGCGAAATGCGATGTGCTCGGCGGCTTGGAAGCCCGCATCTGCAGGCCTCCTCCGCCTCCGCCAACTGCTCGATTCGAGCCTTCGGAGCCGGAACAACACAAGGACCGAAGCCATGTCCATCTCCTGCCACCATCCGGCCTAACTGTGATTCGTGAAAGCAGGAAGACTCAGAACTGCCGAAGTGCGCAGCGGGCATTGAGGCCCGTGGGAGCTCAAGGAAACTCGGAGTCAACATGGGTTATCATGGGTTTTAATCAAGTTCGTGGAGGCTACGATTTTTACTGGTCGTGAAAGCCAATCCTTTGAGCCTTTCTTGCGCTTAAAGGGAGCTTATAGGGAGCGTGGAGAAGTAAACGGCTCCTGCCGCAGCCGAAGATCTTCGAAGCCTCGAAGGGCGGTGCACAGATTTAGTTTGTAGGAAGCCAGTTGAAGCTGTTGTCCTTGCAGGTTTCCGTCGGCGGCACGCGCTATCGCTGCCGGTCTGTTCTGGGGCGTGGGTCCTTCAGCGAGGCCTCCTAAGCAGGATGCTCGAGAATTCTCTGTTTTTGTTGAGCCCTGCATTGCTGCAGAGGTTTGGTCCGGAGAGGTAGTAAGTGCCACTGCGGACCACGCAGGGGCGGTGGCGCTGAAAGCTCGGTCCTGAGGATTCCAGTCAACTCCATGTAAAGCACTGTGCAGCGAAACATAGCGAAACTAGCAGATGCTTCCGAGGACATATTCTGCAAGACGAAGGCGGCGATGCGCAGCGAACATCCCAAACTGGTAAGGAGGGCTTATTCTTTCCATGGTGCGTCCATGCACACGTCTGCGGAGATACTTCTTCCTTCATTCCCTCATTGCTGCAGGGGTTCTTAACTTTCATGTGAAGATTTGTTGCTCACTGGCAACTCGTGCTCTTGGCACAGTGCCGTGTGCATCTCGGGGTGGAAATCTTGCTTCCAGCACAGCTCTGCCTTTTCTGCACACTGCACTCGGAAGTAGACTCGCGTCTCTCCGCGGTGCAGTGTGCGTTTTGGGGTTGTGGGCCATTGACGTGCGCATGCTCTGGCCCTGAGCTAGGCAGATTTGGAGCAGGCCCTTTTCGAGGCCCTGACTGAAGGCAACAAAGCAACGGGTGAGATGTGGTGAGTGCGAAGGTGAGCTTGCTCGAGCGCTTCAAGGAGGCTGCCAGCGACGGACGAGAGGCCGCAAGATCCTACATAGTAGCCCGCGCGTGTGTGCAAGGATGAAGCCTGAGCTGCCCTGGCGTTGCAGGCCCCGATGCGCATTCCGCGCTACTTCGGCCACAAGGTTTGGAGCTGTGGGCAGACGGCAGTTGTTAGCTTCTTTGCGCAAGCACGCCTCGTTGCTGTTTGCAGGTGGATCAGAAGGAGGACGGCTGGCGAGTTTGCCTGGTGGAGCACCAAGAGTCTACACGAAATCGTGATTCAACCAGATGTCATGACGTAGCAACTGGATGGATTTCGATTGCTGAGTTCCGGGTTTTGCGCAAGATTATTTTTCTGAAGCGGCATAGGCACAGGAGAGTGAGGGAAAGCGTCTGATGGCATCTGATGCTTTCTCCGACACTGCCGCGCTTTCCGGCCGGTGGGGCCCCGAGGCCATGGCCCGGCTCCCTGGCGAGTGCTTGGACGCCTGGCTGCGGCGTCCGCCGCCGCCGAACCAGGCAGAGGAATTAGATGCAGAGAGAGAGAGAGAGAGAGAGAGCGAGAGCGAGCGAGCTGTCTAGCGCAGAGCTGCAAGCAAGCAAGCAAGCAAGCCCTGTCTGCACGAAGTGCCGACCTAGGACGGCCCCAGTGCCGTGCGCCGTGGCTGCGTCTGCTGCCCGGGTTTGGAGTCCGCAGTTAAGTTTCAAAGAAAGCTCTTGGCTTTCTGGGAGTCTTCGAGGCGCTCGCAATGGCATTGATCAGGCGCCACGCTTTCTCGAGAGATTTGCACCTCATGAATAGATGTCGGGGCAGGGGCAGATAATTTGTTCGTGGCTTGCATTTGTTGGATTTGCAGGTCTTTCAGTCGTAGTGAGTTCATAGCCAGCTGAGCACATGTCATTCTAGTCGATCTTCGAGTCTCCATGGAGCGAGGCATGCTGAGGTCCCTTTTTCGCGAATCTAGGTAGATCGAAAGGTGGCTAGAGTGGCTGGTGCCCAGAGCGACTGGTACCCGACAATCATTGACAATCCTTTTCTCGTTCGTGGTCAGTGATTTCAACAGCAGTGTAACTGTAACTGATGAAGCAACCACATCAAGCAATCGAGTACCGGGGACGGGTGCATGCCTTTGGCGCCTTTTGCTTTGCTTTCAACCACAGCTCGCAGCACAGGCAGCTGGGACCCACCCTTGAGCGGCTCGCACCGCATGCATGGCACCGGGATGTAAACTCGGCAGGGTGCTCAGAAGGGGTGCAGCTTGAGGTGGCTCTCATGCAGACTTTGGTTCGCAATCTGCTTGATTCACTCCGAATTCCGTTCCGCATCATTGCACAACAACGTGCCAGCACAACGTGCTCCTGAGCGATGCCCTGGACGGCGGTCGCTTGATGCCCTGCAGCGACGTTGAGGAGCCAGGGCCGTGGGGCCGTAGACGCCGTAGGCCGCAGGGCGCAGGGAGTCCGTGGGCCCCGAGTCGTCACCGTGGGCCCTGCTTCCCGCTGCAGGAGACTTCCAAGCGGGCCGCGGGCTTGGGAGCGTGCCGAAAGGGCAGAGTCGCTGGCACATGCTGAGGCTGAGAGCTTCTCTCTTAAAGACCCAGCCGCCGAGCCCCACATGGATACCACTTGCAACCGAATGGCGAGTCAGTGAAGCATCAGTTTGCTTAGATTCAGAAACACTCATAAGAACCTGACTGGAGGGGAGGCAGCGCTGTCATGCAATTTGCAGGCTGCGCTGCAAGAAGTGCCGGCTCGCCAGTCGAATCTTGTGGTCCTCAGGCTCGGTTCTGGCTCCTGGATTTCGGCCTGGCCGTGGATGCGGCGAGCTGGCCGCTGTCCGAGAAGTCTCGCATCTGCTTTGGGGATCTTTGGCGGCGATGTATGGCGACGGGCGTAGGCCGCAGCGCTGGCCACACTCCGATGTGGCGGGCGACTGCCGTTACTGGGCGACCAGCTCCTTTGCTCCGGGCCTCAGCCCGGATTTCAGCGGCTTTGCGGTCTCTGACTTGGCACGCTCAGGTCATGAGCTTCTGTGGTCCCGAGGAGTGTGGTACAGTGTCGTGTTTTCGTGAGTCCTTCCATTTTGGAGAGATGTGGCACCCGAGTTGCCGCAGGAGACATCGGCCAAGAGGGAGCTCTGCTCGCAGTACAAGACCAAGCTGGACGTCGTGGGCCTCGGCACGGGGCCTTACATTGCCTTACATACACGATTCACATACTGTGCTGTTGTATAAAATCTAACAGCGGGAGAGGCCTTACCGCCTTGGAGCTGCTGTGCAGCTCGGCCCTAGCCAGCCGCGAATCCTGGGGCCGCTTGGAGCGCCTTCAGAGTCGCTGACTTCAGTAAGGCAAGGAGGCAAGGAGGCACGACGAGAGATGCAGCCGAGGCCCGGCCAAGGGCTTGCGCGGCTCCTGGGAGCGGCTGCTGGAGACTTGGGAGAGGCCCGGAGGAGGGATCCGGGGGGCCGCCCGGCCCGGAGAGGCTTCGCTGCGCTCCGCCAGGTACCGCGAAGACGTCACGCGATGGCACGCCATGATCTTTCAGGTCTTTGCCAAAGGAGGCTTGCTCGTTCTGTGACGTGTAGCTTGCTTGTGCACGGGGTCGGAGCGGGTCGGGGCTCAGAGCGCTGCCCGTTGCCGCCATGGGAGCCTCCAAGAGCACGCCGAGCGTGGACTCGGACCTGCGGGCGCTCAAGGCGCATGCAGCAAGCGCTCGGGAGCGTCAGGAGGCCTTCGAGCGGCTGCGTCGACAGTTTCTGACGCCCATCGGAGCGGCAGAGTTGCTCAAGGCCAAGGCCGACATCGAAGCCTTGCGCTTCCCGATGTGGCAGGAGACACCTCTAGATGCCACGCGCCTCAGCCGAGAGGCACAACAGCCAGAAATGATAATCAGTCGTGCTTACTGATCCGAAACCTAGGACACTCGTATCCTTCCTTAGCAGAGAGCACAGCTTGGCGCCGACATCTTGAGTTTGGTGCAGGTGCTGGCGGACCGAGTGCGAGGGACTCTCTTTGGTGCAGCTCTGGGAGATGCTGCCGGGCTGGCAACGGAGTTTCTGTCTGCAGCGGAATCAAAAGAGTTCTATGGAGAAGATGCAGACTTTCGACCTGGACGAGCTGTGTTCCCAGATGAACATCGAATGATGTGGTGTGCAGGGGATTGGACCGACGACACCGACCAGCAGGTGCTGATGATGCAGTCGCTCTTGCACTCTGGTGGCCACGCGGATCCCTGCGACTTTGCCACGCGCCTGTTGTCCTGGCGGACCTCGGGCTTTCCAGAGCTAGGAGATCAATCGGCTGCAGGTCTGGGACAAACCACGAAAGCGGTTCTGAATGACCCCAGCTTTGCTGCATCCCCGCACACAGCGGCGGCAGCGCACTCTGCAGGCATCCCTTCTAATGGAGGCGTCATGAGGAGCATTGTTGATATGTGCCACAAAAATCCTTCGTCTCCTGCATTCGGCACTGCTTCCCGTGAGGACCGCAGTTGCGGGAATCCCACATTTCTGGTGTGAAGACACCGTGGCGGCAGCCGCAGAGACGCTTTGCCTCACAACTCATGCAGAACCTAGATGTGTGGCCAGCTGCGTTGCAGTTGCTCTCTGTGTGAGTCGACTCCTGCGCGGAGAGGACTCTTCGGACATCGTCGAGTCGGTAGTGCAACCTGCGCTTGAAAAGGCACAGGGCAGCCTTGGCGACATGGAGAGGCAGGAACTGCGGCGGCATGCGGAGGCCAAAGAGTTGAAAGATCTGGCTTTAGACGATCGGAAGACAATCGGCTTCACGTTCAAATGTCTTGGTGCTGGTCTATGGGCCTTGAAGCAGTCCGAGGCCCAGGCCCAGGCCCAGGCCCAGGGCACTGGCACTTCAGGCCAACTTTTTCGCAAAGTCCTGAACGAGTTGGTCTTGGCCGGGGGAGATGCAGACACCAATGGAGCCGTCGCTGGTGCACTACTCGGGTGTCGCCTGGGTTTCAGCCAACTTCCCGCGGACAAGGGCTCGGGGAAGATTCATTTCTTGCTGCGAGAGAGTGGGCTTTAGGGGTTTAGGTGTCCTCTCAGAGCCCATGCCCTGTCAGGACTGGATTGCCGGCATGCCCTACAGTTCATGGCTCGAGGCATATGTGCAGAAAATCTTGTTCATGCTCCGCCGAGAAGTGAGAAGCTCGGAGCAGTAGACTGCCACTCCAGTTTCTGGAGTTCATGTCATGCGGATTGGCCAGCACTACGCGGATGTGCCCTGTACAGGCAAGGGCTCCTTTGGTTGCTTGAATTTAGTTGGACTCGGATCACTGCAGCCCAGTCCGGCAAATCTCGCCATAGCAATGGGATGCCACATGCTCGTTGAGCTGATGCTCGTCAATGTGAGGGCCATGTGATGCTTAAGCCAAAGTCAGCCTAAGTGCCAAGCCGCCAAGCACGTCAACTATCCACGTGCCAGGTAGATAGCAGTACTCCGAACTGCAACAGAAATAGCAACGCGCAAAGTAAGGCATAGGTTTGCCCGTTCGTAGCATTGGGCATGGCAAATGGCAGCTCGTCCAGGCCAGTGACGAGACTTCGTTGCTACCTTGATTGAAGTTGCTTTGCCAACATCCTGGCAGTTCTACGTGCCCCTACACCATCCTTGGCGTCTCCAGGGACTAACATGTCCCCTTGCAGATCATGTATCCAGACCTTTAGGGTTTAGTGTGGGAGAGGAGTCAGGCCACTCGAGGAAATCTTGCCGAATCCAAAGACATACTCACAATCTCGCAGGACGCATCTCCGCGAACCATTGAGCGTGCATGGCGGCAGAAGGCTTGATCGGTCATGGGGCTGAGCTTACAGAGCAGAGGGGAAGTGTCGTGGAGGCTCGAGTTCATCATCCAGACAAGGCGGGGCGGCGCACCCGGGGGGCCGCTTCGCACAGAGCCTTGCATCTGTTGGAGCGGGCGGATCACTGGCCAGGTGCCCGATGCCGAGAAAGAGGCCGCCGAGGCGGGGAAAACGACGGGGCGTCGTCTTTCTCACTCCGTCAGAGGTCGCCGTGCGCGCGCGTGTGCGCGCCATGTGCAGCATGTGCACGCTGCGCCGCCGCGCATTGGGAGCGTCATCGCAGGAGAGCTTCAAGCAGCTTGCTGAGGCGGGCTTTTGTGGAGTTCACTTCAGCCTTGTCCAGCTCGCGCCGCATCGCGACCGGCAGTGATCAAAAGGCACACGAGCTTTTGGCGGATCCAACGCGCCGGAAGCTTTACGACAGCTTCGGCATCCAGGACTCCACAAGCATACAGAACCAGATGACATGCAAAAATAGTAGAACATTGCTGTATATGCAATCGCAGCTAGCCGATCTTCCGAAGGCCTTTTGTAGGCCATTGGCCGATCAGAGCAGGAGTGCGGAATACATCAGGATGAGGCGTACAATCCTTTCGCAAGACACCTTAGGGTGAACAGGACTCTGCTTTTGCTCGTGACGCCGACGGGGCCGACGAGGCCTCGGTGTCACAGTTCGAGGAACTATATGTAAGACCCGGCCTCTGCCCCAAACTGTTCAGGACTACATGGATGCCAACAATTTCGCGGACTTGGAGGACAGCGAGCGGTGCCCTGAACAGTCCGATGTCTCTGTCAGTGATGAAGAGTAGACTTGTGAAGCCCAGTCAGGGAGCCACAGCAATACAACATGTGATGTCAGAACAAATCGACGAGAAGAAACGCTGACAACGTATGTTGTGCACTTCAGCTAAAGTTTCAGAATATTAGTGGGCGCATCTCTGCGATGCCATGCAGCTAAGATCATCCATGATCGTCCCCTTGTTTTTTTGAAGGGTATTGGGAAGACTGAATCAGAAACCAATCTGTGTTAAGAAGCTACTCATGATGAGTGACTACTTCCTACTTCAGTCGCCTCTTTGCGGAGGAGATGTTAAACCAGTTGAACCAGATGTTCCAAGGTGGCCCAGGCCGAAATGACACGTACAGTGCACGGCGGCCCCTCTTGAGCTGTCCGAGGGCCTGGGCCGGTCGAGCCGGCAGAAGAGAGGCCTTTTGAAAGTGACTGCAAGAGTGCATGCTGTGCCTATCCGCCTCGATACGCCTCGCTGTGCCTCGCTGTGCCTGGTCAGGGACCTCTGGGATGTTTGGGAGGGGGTCCTTGGCTTCACCCTGCTCAGTATCGGTGCAGGGGCGCTCGCGGGCGTGGTTCTCAAAGCGGGGGGTGCTGGGCCTTCGCCTCTTTGGGCGTTCTTCCAGGCCTGGTCTGGTTTTCTCGGAGGCCGCCTTTGTCGCTTTGGCTGAACTGGTGCTGGTGGAGGCAGGGAGAGTCATGTTTTCCTAATCCGCAGTGTTTGCAGTTTTGCAAGGTGCCGTTTCCTCCTCTTTGATTTCGGGCTTGGGTAGAGGACAACTCCCCGGCCGCGGACCACTTTGTGCTGTGTGTACCGTCAGCTGTCGCGTTGAATCTGGAGCTGTACAGAGAGCGTGTATGTCAGTGCACTGGTACTGAGCTGCAGCCATTTGCAGCCTGTGAGCTCTGCGAAAATGTTGGAGGCAAAAGCCTAGTCTACGAAAGATTACAAGAGATACGAGACGAATCAATGTCTCCAAGTTGATGGTGCCGGTGACTCCGACATTCTCGGGGGCTGGTGCCAGGCTGCTTTCTGCCCTGCCAACAGAGCACTCGGCGAACGTGCACATCTCGCGCACGTGCTGGCAGAAGCACCAAAAACCCAATCGAGCGTGCAGTGGCGGAGCACCGGATTTCCGGCCCCATGCCAACTCCGAGCAATGTGGACCAGTGCGAGGGTTTAGCGCTAGTCACTAAAAGCTGCGCACTGTTACTCTTGTCAGGCGACATCGCGCCGCTCTACCGTCAGCTGGGTCAGGCGGACGGCGTTCACGTCATGACGGTTCATGTCCAGTGATGGTGACTGCATGTTGTTGGCACTCGCAAAGCCGCGTTCCACAAGCATGCAAAGAACACGCCAAAGGAAGCCAAGACAAAGCCCAACGCTTTCAGAGAGTCGGCACATGTAGCCGGTGACGCCACACCATCTCATGTTACTAAGAATGGCTCGACATGCACAGTACTGCTTTGGACACTCATACTGGGACCGAAGAATGAATTTGCGATGCCGTGCCTGGGCGGGCCGCCGTCACCAAGCCGCTGCGGGTTTTCTTGTGGCCTCTTGCCTTGCAGAAATGCTTGCTGCTCTTAGCAGATTTGCTGGGACCGACCTTGAACAGAAGGCGGAGCGGCTCTCCTGGAACCTTCCGCTGGGTCAAGGCGTCCGTCTATTGTTGTGCAGACGACTGGCAGCCTAGGTCCTAGGTTCTGTACATGCCAGACGGCACAGGATGCAGGTTTTCTGATACCGTTGGCAACTCCTAAATGCGTCTTAATCATTAATCATTAAGCATGTCCGCGGCACAAGCACAGCAGGACTGGGTCTCCGTTTGCAAGTCTGAAAGTTTGCGGTTGCTGGGGGTCATGTTGCCGCCGTTGCGGCCTTCCACTTGCTGCATCCCTCGGCCTCTTCTCACGGTGCTGCCGACCGAGGTGAAGTGCAACCACTGGTCTTCCAAGGAGCTTCCGACTAGCAGTGCTTCTGCGCTGTAGGCAACGCCTTGTTTGAAGCGCAGGAAACTCACGGACTCTTTTGTCGGCTAGGCACCGGAGCACTTTCTTCGGACCTGGTAAGAGTTGGCTTGCGTGGCCCCTGGCCCCGGAATGTTTGGCGTGAGTCTTGCTCTCTCGGGGCGTACTTGAGCATCCAGTGCAGAATGGGTGCTCTCGAGCAGGGCGTCGACTTGGACGGCCGACATCGAAAGCCAAGGCCCAAGCCGCGAGGAGGACGAGCTTCCAGAACGCATTGTCCGTCCTGGAGTCCTCACTAGGGCTCAAGGCCGTCAAAGGTCGCTTATGCAATGCATGATTTGCAACCCTTGTCGGAGCTTGGCGTTTTGGTTGAATTCCTGAGCTTTTCCCGCAACAATTAGACGTGTGCAGCTCCAAACATCTCCAAACTCAACACCCCCATGGCGAGCCATGCGACTGCTGCTCTTCTCTTTGGTACCAGCTCTGCTTTTGGCGCAACCGCCTGGCTGGGCAGTCGGCTGGGGTGGTCTGGACTGCAGCAGCAAACACGCGTCAGTATGCCCTCGGCACCATCGTGATGCAATGATATGCAATGGAAGGACCCGGCAAACGCAGACTCAGCGGGAAACCTGCGAGAGGAGCGTGATGAGGCTAGAGCAGGGAAGCAAGGGATGCATGCGGCGAGGGGTTTTGTTTGTGTGTCTGGACGTGTAGTGCCTGTATGCCCCTCTATGTGCCTCTTTGACTTACCGTGCGAGGCACGGGCCCAACTGGCCCGCTGCCTACAGGGCGAGGATGCAGCCCTCAAGGGCCCTCCAAAAGAGTGGCCTTTCAGGACGCGACCGGAGCGAGGGCCTCAGGCCTCAGTAGCCATCAGCCCCAGGTCCAGAGAAAGACTACAACACACCAGGGCTAAAGAGCACAGAGCTGACAACTCATGGCCAAGCTCGGGCGTAGGCCGCGTCTTTGCGTCTTAAGGACACCGGTGTGGCCCTTCCTGCTGGGTGGCATCAGCTTGGTTCTGTGCGAAGCCAAGCTTGAAGCTGCAAGCCAGCATGTTGCGAGGTTGTTTTTGCTGAATTTGGTTCAAGGTTAGCTGCGGTTTGCCTGTGGCAGACGCGACGTCCGCCAGATGCTGCAGGCGCAGGGTCACAGGGCATCAGCGGCTTGATCTTGGCAGAGTACCAAAAGGCAATCGCAGACACTGCAGTCAGGAGATGTTTCTGGATCTGACTGGGGCTGTCAGGTGGCAAGTTTCTCAGCATAGAGCCAGACCTCCGAGTCCCTCTCCGAGGCAGAAGACAGGTGCCCGTCGTGGAATCGGTTGCAATGTTGTTTTTTTTTGGGAACAAGGGAGCACAAGCTTTTGTAGGCGGCACAGACTGCGCAAGCAGAGATGCAACATCCTGGCTCTTGGGCAGCGGACCTCTGCCGGAGGCTTGCAATGCATGGGGAGTGGGACAGGCCACAGGGTAAAATGGGTAAGACTCTCTCTTCCTCGCAGGCCTGTGGTGCTGCTGCGAGCGCTGCGCAGCCGCCTGTCGACGACGAGGCGAATTGCCTGGCTAGTACAGCGTGAGATCTTTGCCATTGTTGGGCAAATCTGTGCAGGTGCCGTCCGACCGAGATACTCAAAGCCTGCCGGCGGAAAGCCTGGAGGCGGGTGGATCGAGAGTGGCTGTTTCGCTCGGGGAAGTGGCAGGGACGGAGAGATAGGCAGAACAAACGACAAAGCGCCTCACGAAAGGAGAGAAAGGGGGGACCTGAATCGTATGCCTCTTGCGGGAGGAGCAGGAACAAGGGCAGGAGCAAGAACCGCCGAAACCGACAGCATACACATGGAAGAGCAGCTTGGCACTCTTTGCGGATGGCAGAAGCTGTGCAGGAAGAAGAAGAAGAAGAGGAAAGGAGAAGAAAACGAAGCAGAGCTGGAAGCAACGTGAAGGAGCACAGAAAGGAGGAGGAACAAGAATACCAAGACAGATCGGAATAGTACGGGGAGCGTTCATACTGATGATAGCAATCAAGAATTATGGTAGTGGTGCTGATAACGGCTAACATTTAATGACAATAAAAACAAGAGTCATAATACTAATAACAGTAGTACAAATTATGAGATTACAACTAGTCACGGTAATAGTCATACTCATAATCATATCCAGCTTCATACGAAAATTCACACCATACCACCACCACCACCACCACCACCACCACCACCACCACCACCACCACCACCGCCAATACCACCACCACCACCACCACCAACAACAACAACAACAGCAACAACAAGACGATAACAAGAACGCCATCATCATCATCATCATCATCATCATCATCACCATCATCACCACCATCATCATCTGCATCA